ACGCTCAGCGTCGCGAGGACGTCCGACAGGGCGTACTTCTGCGTGAGCACCCGCGCGGTGGCGTGGGAAAGGTTCAGGTACTCGTCCCGCGAGGTCGCCTGCAGCTGACGACGATCGGGGGAGTCAACAGGGGGCGCAAGGGCTTTCGACTGCGAAAAGGGGGGTCGGGCAACTTCAAAGGACGACATCGAGCTATCCGCCGTCTCCTCCATCGCCGTCAGGAGACTAAGCGGGGTCAGGCCGTGCGGCATCGCCGCCTCCGAGCCCCGCTTTGGATTCGCCCAACGTCTATCTTTCCTTTCATCTCTTCTGCTAATCTCTATTCCTTTCCCTCTGTCTTTTAATTGTCTACAGTTCGGGGCGGGATGAACACTTTCGAGAACAATACTATCCCCACTGCTTATGGACTCTACATCATCGTTATTCTTGTGAACGGACCGTTCCTTATCCCCCTTTTTGATCGTCAAAGGATCTTTTACATTCACGTTAGAGGGTTGGGGGAAGTTAATAGGTCGATCATCGAGTGAGCTTCGATGCGCCACGGCTAAAACCCTCGCACAGAGCTCTTCATCCGAAGTTTGCTCACAAAGAAGAGTTGTCGAAGTTTGTCTGTTGGTGTGGTTTGGTGGGATGAGCATTAACCACTGCATTTGCAGTAAAGCCTGTCGGACATCCCCTTGGCTAGATGCCGCTATGGTTTCGACATCGTCCTCTGAAAGAATCGTTGACGCCGGTACTAAGGAATTCATTTTCTCAAAAGAGCCATTTTTCTTTCCAGATCGGCCGCGTTTGGTACCCAAAGAGCCTCTTCTGGAAGACATGAGAAGGTTACCGCTGTTTGCTTTCCTTACAGGTCGATATGCGGCACTATTGTTTCCTTTACGTTCCTCCTCTAGGGCTAGAATAACCTTTAGACGCTTCTTTAGGTTAATGGATGTGATGGGCGTACAGTGAAATAACTCGACCGCGGAGCTATTTAAGAACTCATTAGGAATTGAACCGTGCAATCCTACCTTTTCATTGTGTGAGTCGTGCAATGTGTGGATAAAAAATATATAATGATGACGAAGACGATAATTCAGACTAGTTGTATAAGCTAAGGAATTTCCACCGCTTTCGGAGATTTCATGCCGCGCAGTCGCGCAGAGCTTCTCATACTGCCGGAGGAATGCTAAAGTATTTCGGTGTAAATAACTATCAGCGGGCTCTCCATATAACTTTATGATATGAACATTAATAATACGATTCGATTGTGTAACCTCAAGCCTTTCGTCCATGTTACGCTGCTCCAATTCCACTTCTGATTTTGAAAATGGAAAGGCTGATCGTTTGTAAGACATAACTCCCTCGTTGGATGGGTTTATTTTAGTATTGTATGTGCTGTTAACGAGGGGAACACAATAACCATTACATCCACCCATGGGTTCAAACGGTGTGGAATTCAGCTGTAGAAGAAGATCATTCAGCCAACGATTATACTCTGAGGAAGTCATTTCGGAGGTGTGGAGCTCCCGAATAACGAGCCTTGAAGAGAGTGGCGTGAAAAATTCACCATTAGCTTCTGTTTGCCCGTCGTCTGAAGGACAGTTTATTTGAGAGATAGAGTTTGAGCGAGAAGGTGAACTCCGCCCGACGTCCCCACCGACCGTGGTGGGTAAATAGGTATCCTTTGGAAATGGAATCAAAGAAAAAGAGGAAGAAACACTACTATCAAACAAAGATCGCATGATTACCTTCAACGAGGTTAACTTGGCGCATCCTGTAGGGCCGTACAGGACTACCAAACACGGTGAGCGGGCGCCGCGGTGGATGCCGTCAATCAACACACGAAGAGCCACAAGCTTTTGACGACTCCACACCAAATCAGATACTTCATGAGGCGAATATAACTCGTTTAACATTCCTATAAAAGTAAAATTAGATGGGGAGGAGGAGGGGGAGATATCAATGTATATGTTTAGAGATGGAAGGAAAGAAACTCCACAGGGAAGATGAAAAACTTTGTCTACACATGTCAAACGCAACTGGTTCATCATCATTTTTTGATCTTACAGCTTTAGAATTTAGGAATATAGATAAACGTTGATCATTCTTCTACAACATAAATTCTCGCCGTCGCTGATCAGCCTCTCTTATCACTTGATGCGTTTTATTCATCTATATATTCATATATAGATGAACTTCTGCTTCTTTAGTCGCAACGAATTAATATAAATTGTGGAGTTGCGTTATAGAGAGGAAAAAAAGTCCCTACTAGAAGCAGATAAAAAGAAGGAACCATATCCAAAGATAAAATTGGGGATGCCATGTATTCTTTAAAACATAAAAAAAGTTATGTAAGGTTGAATAGGATTTTCGTATCTTACTCTTTAATAATGAGTGAATTCTAGGATTATGATATTGATGCCTTAAGAGAACTTTGAAAGTACAAAGGGATCTTCACTTACAAATTCATGCCATTCTTCTATCATGGAAGTTGTGGAAAAAGGCTCTTGGATGCCTTTGGTCTCTCGTCTGCGCTTTTTCTTTCGCACCACGCGCATCTCCTCTTCCTGTGTGTCGTCCAAACACGCCGGAACGCAAAGCCTCCAGCTGTGGAGGAACATTCGCGGCCACCCTCGAACCTCCTCCGCAAATGAAGAAGAAGGAACGGATGAGTTTGGAAAAGGAGAAGGATCATCCGCGTAGAGTTCATCGCCGAGGATGGGAAATCCGAGGGCGTGACAGTGCACGCGGAGCTGATGGCGGCGCCCGGTCAGGGGACAAAGCAGCACCTTTGTAATAGGGACCGGTCTTTGCAGTGTAGGGTGCGTTAGAACCCCGCGCTCCAAGACGTGAATCCACGTTGTACTCCAGCGGCTGCCTTCACCAAAGACCGCCATGCGATTTGAGCCCCACTTCTGAACCGCCGCCTTTTCCACCCCAACAGGAAGACTCACTTCCAAGACGCAGCCGAAATTCCCTTCGTTGTTCTCGGCTTTTTGTTTGTCATTGACCGGATGAGAGGAATCCTGGCCCTCCGTTCGACCTGCTTCGTCGGGGTCGCTTCGCGTTCCCCCCGCTTGTATCCCTTCCAGACGCGCGAACATTTCCTCATTCTCCACCCGCGCAGTCTCTGAGCTGTAATGCGAAGACCAACGTACCCCCTCTCTTTCTTCTATTTTCCCTTTCAGGGAGGGGAAAGGGTAAAGATAGCTCGAGAGCTCCTCACGGCGAACTCCCTGCAGGCCCGTGGAGGATCCCACCCCCGCCGAGGCTGCGGCGATCGCCCGATTCAACCCCGCCACCCACCCCCGTGTGCCTTCGGGGTCCTCCTGAAGGAGGGGAAAGTGCCCGTGGAGAAGAGCCACATAGGATTTCCGTGTAGTTCGCATTTCGAAGCTGTGTGCGAGACGGGCCGCCATATCCTTGGTGAACGCCACGCACAGCACCCCGCT